CTGATATTCTTGGAAGTTTGTCTTTCAACAAATACGAGTCTCCTTGTGGAGAGAAAAAGTGGAGTAATAATAACAATAGTAGTAGTAGTAGTAGTAGTAATAGAAATCCCTCATTACTACAACATATCTACTTTCTGAATGTGTGGCCAACTGTTCTAGGACAGCATCATCCAAGTCCGTAGTCTGGTTTGGAGGTCTACAGTAGATCCTCACAATGACAACCCTGTTGTTTCTTTCCCTCTTAATTTTTACCCAGAAACTCTTAGCCTGGCTTCCAGGATTTATGCTATGAATATCCCCAATGATATTCTTCCTCCTTTCCTGTTTGCTCTACTTCTCAGAAATAAGTTGCCAGTATATCCCTCTATTACTACATTCAAATCCAAGGTTTCAGTGATGTCAATTCTATCATATTTGCTTTGTTACATTAGGAACTCCTGTTCTTCTTGTTTATTTCCCATGATCCATGCATTAGTGTAGAGATACCAGACTTGCATACTGGGAATCAGTTGCTAGCAGTGCCCACTCTAGTCATAAGACAGTGATTGAAAACCTCTGGAGCAGGATCTATAATCATCACATTACTTAGGGCATAAGTGAGATTGTGAATAATAATTCTTTTTGCAATGAGAGGAACTCCTGCAGAGTTAATGGTACCAACATTTGGATCTTGGTATTGGAATATCAGTCGGTCCTCAACTCTCCTTGCATAGCTTTTTTTTTTTTTTGTCATGTCAGGAGCGACTTGAGAAACTGCACGTCGCTTCTGGTGTGAGAGAATTGGCCGTCTGCAAGGAAGTTGCCCAGGGGACGCCTGGATGATTTTTTCGATGTTTTATCATCCTTATGGGAGGCTTCTCTCATGTCCCCACATGAGGAGCTGAAGCTGATAGAGAGAGTTCATCCGCCTCTCCCCGGATTCGAACCTGTGATCTGTCGGTCTTCAGTCCTGCTGGCACAGGGGTTTAACCCACTGCGCCACCGGGGGCTGCATAGACAGATGCTGACAGATGCCCAAGATAGAAGGCAGCTTGGGCTGAGCATATTTCCACCTGTAATTTTTATCCTCAGATGTGAAAAAAGATGACTCCCTATGAAGCAGCGAAAACTCTAGATCAAATATTTTCAATGGAGGTATACTTTGTAGTGATGCAGACACCTGTATTTGTATTTCTTGTACTCAATATCCATTGTTATATTTTCTGCTTGTATTGCCTCCTTTTCTGTTCTTTTGTTTTTCTTATGTCTTTTTTTCCTTTCATTCCTTTCCTGTAATATCACCACTGTTTGCTTAAATGCTGTTATCTCTTTAAATTTACCAGGCTTCAGATCAAAGGACATAACAGTGTTTTTATTCTTCAGAATGTGTGGCTGGTTAGTGGCTCATTAACAGACAGGAAGTGTTTGTCATTCTTACAGATTTAAAAAAAAAGATTTTCCAAACATGATTTTACCCCTTGAGCACTTTGTTTCTCTACTCCTTGTATTTTCTGGTCCCCAAATTAAATATCTAACCATGCCACTCTATTTCTTCTCACTTGGACTGTGTTATCTTAAACAGATATGGCAGAATTTGATAATGTGACTTTCCTTTCTTCCAGGCAAAAAAACAAGCAAACAATCCTTTCTGCAGTTGTCTTCTAGCAAAATGTTATGATTGTAGCAATCAGAACACTTAGAGGCCATAAGCTCTTAAGACAACTAACTTAAACTAACCTATTTCAAGCTGATTACTAAGATGTGAGAAACTAAAAATAATAAATGTCTAAGTAGCTGTCATCTCCCCTCGCCTACTACTTCTGCTCAGAGGAAGGATTTGAAGATGTTACTGCTGTGGCAGACAAAGCAGCACTGCTGAGCATCCATTAAGGAGACGAGGGTGGGGTTACTGCCAAAAATCCTCAGCTTTTAGGAAGGTTCCAAAAAGGCACAGCAATAGTCATAAGGGTGTGAAACACAGAGAACACAATTAAGAAATATATGGTCCCAAACCTGCATTGGACAAAGTAGCATAGATGTAGAAGAGCATGAGAACATGAGAATCAACATTAGGGAAAGTGAGAACATTTAATCCTGTCTGTTTTCCCCTGTAAATCACTACTTTATTCATTCATTTACAAAGCACATTGAATAAACACACAAAAATGGGAATTTGCTCTACCTGTGGACAGAGCAGGCATGACTAGTTCATTCTACTTTTTCAATGTGAATTCCATACATTCTGTAAATGAGTGAAAAGGATCTCCCCACGCACACAACGGTCATGCTCACCTGCCAACTTCCCTTTACAAATGCCCATGGATAAAAAAGTCAAGAAAGCAATCTTTCTTGGCTTCTGTAGTCAATGAAAAGCAGGTCCTTTGCAAACAGAGAATATTTATTTCAACTGGATATGCTATGCAGAAGCGGTGCTTTGTTATTTCCTCTTCATAATCTGATACTATTATTGTATTAGGTTTTTATACTGTTCTTAGTTGTCTTATTGGATGTTTGTGTTTTACAGCGGTTGGAAATACTTAAGGCAAGGTGGAATATATCACATCTTCTTAAAGTGTGGATTCCAAAACTCAAACGGGGTCTCCTTAGCAAAATGTTGGATTCCCAAAAAAACTGGCAACAGTACAAGTTTTCTGAATGTCACCTAGTGGCTATTTAAGCATTTACATTAACCTGTTGTGCAGTGTTTATAGTGGACTCTGCAGAAGATGTTTGAACTGCTTCTTGAAAAAGAAAATGACCCTGTTTATTAAGCTATGCGAATGTTGATTTTATTTATTTATTTATTTATTTATTTATTTATATTATTCGAACTTATATGCCGCCACTCCCCTGGGGCTCGGAGCGGCTTAAAAGAGCAGCTAAAATCTAATACAATTTAAAAACAATTTAAAATAATTTAAAAACAACAATATCAAAAATCAAAGGCCTGTCAAAACAGGTATGTCTTACAAGCCCTGCAGAATGAATAAATGTTTGATTTTTATAACCTATTTTACACATTTATATACCTGGAGTCACATTACTTGGGCAAAAAGGGGTCATGAGTGGAAAAATTTAAGAAGCTCTGGTGTATATATTTAATTGCTTCTTTTTATTATTATTAGACTGTGAGAGCCATTCAGCAGTGGAACTCTCTGCCCCGGAGTGTGGTGGAGGCTCCTTCTTTGGAAGCTTTTAAACAGAGGTTGGATGGCCATCTGTCAGGGGTACTTTGAATGCAATTTTCCTGCTTCTTGGCAGGGAGTTGGACTGGATGGCCCATGAGGTCTCTTCTAACTCTATGACTCTATGATCTATTAGTATTTATCAGCTGCTGATGTTATTACTTAAGTCCAGCTACTGTCATAATACAAAGTCAATATAGCAGCAAAATCTTGCTTCCTGCTTTTTTTAAAAAATTAGATTTTTGAGAAATGGATATAAAATAAACTTGTTGCACTTTACTGTGAGGGGCCCTTGCAAAAGTCTTTTCTTTCAGGTATGTAATGAAATGCCCTGCTTGGGTATAAGATGGTACCTGGAATTCCACTGAAATATTGTTAGGTTTAACACCCTGGATAACGAAATTTATTTTCAAGAAATGACAGCTCTTCACTAGACAGTTATTCTGAGATACCGTTACTGAGAGCATGGCGAAGTGTGAATCCTAGAGGCCAAGAGGAATGCTCTAAAGTCAGTATGTTATGAGCTGCACTGCAACTGCACTTTATCTGGTTGTCAGCAGAAGAGACATCACTGACAGAAACTTTTTCCATCTTCTGAGGTGGCTCCCACCCCTTTATCCCTTTAAGAGGGTTGTGGAGGGTCCTGGCACAAGCTGGAGAAAAGAATATGAAGAGGAGGAATTCTCACTGCACGAACAGTAGTCTCCTTAGGCAACCTTTAGTTTCAACTTGGATTAGCCTTCACAACATCCTGCAATAAGGGATTCATTTTGAACTTTTTTAGCAGGTAAGATAATCTTTATTTCTCTCTACTGCTATTTCCATCATTTGTTTTTAAGAAGGGAAGTCAATATAACTTCATCACTATGACTAGGATCATGCTGCAGTATCTATCTGGAGTACAACCTGGCTGTGGCTCCTAACCTATTTGCTGAACTAAAATGAAAATTTTAAAAACCACCTCCTGGTTTTGAGGGCATGAACTTTTAAAAATTCTTTCAGGTACAATATTTCCAAAAAAGCTTTTTATTCAAATAAGAATTAACATATTCCCAAATCTGAGGATCACCAAGTATTATCGCAGTTTATGAAATGGAATGGAAGCCTGCCTGCTATGAATATGAAAACACAATTATGTATTGAAACACAACTGAGAGCCAGCTTGTTTCCTTTAAATTAAAATTGTTTGTACTTCTTTTTCTCTACATTATTATCTTTAGATGAGATACATATGTGGAAAACTATTTAGACGCTTGTTGCTAGTAGTCAAGATTAGCATGTCCTTTACCTCTTCCAAAAGTATGGAGATAGTATCCCTTCCTTGTCTTAAGATGGACTACATTTTAAATTCAAAGAGACATCTTAATTCCTGTCTCTCTATTAAGGATGGAAATGAGTAATTTGGTATAGAGCCATTGAAAGCAAGCATGCCAGAAGTGCAAAATGCTGTCCCTATTCTTCATAGAATCATAGAGTCGGAAGAGACCTCATAGGCCATCCAGTCCACCCCCCTGCCAAGAAGCAGGAAAATTGCATTCAAATCACCCCTGACATATGGCCATCCAGCCTCTGTTTAAAAGCTTCCAAAGAAGGAGCCTCCACCACACTCCGGGGCAGAGAGTTCCACTGCTGAACGGCTCTCACAGTCAGGAAGTTCTTCCTCATGTTCAGATGGGATCTCCTTTCTTGTAGGCAGCTAACTGAAAAATGGAAAGAATATTTAACCAACGTGACACTTGATGTATGTGTGTGTCTGGTATCAATTTTGCATCCTCATTTTTGCCTCTTCTCCTCCAACAACAAACCTGATGATATGAAAAATATTGATGTACATACCCGTACTCCTGAGGTGAAATGTCCTGTTCCTGACGAGTCCTAAAGATGGTAATGCAGTGAAATAATCCAAACAGGGGGAGTCAATCCAAAAGAATAGTCCAGCAAGTAAAAATATATCCAATATTATAAGAAATCCATGGTGATGGGGGAAATATTAAATGTTTAATACAATTAGAAACTTTAAACATCAGTCTTGATAGCAGCAAGTCCAACTTCAAAATTTTGTTTTTGCAAGGGTAAGGCATAGTATACAAACATTTTATATTAAATGCATGTTCCAATGCCAGTGACTTTATTAAGTAGTAACAAAAAGTGAAATCAAATATCCATGTAAAAGTAAAATTATTTTGAATTTCCAGTATTGAAGTTTCCCTCTCTGTCTTGGATACAGATTTCCACAGACATGGGAAAGAAGATGAGATGTATTCTCATATACAGACTATTCATTTTTACCTCTGTTTATTTACCCAAATTACAAGGTGAAAAATGTGTTTGAACCCACCCATCTAATAGAAAGTTTTTAGTTTCTTTCTAAGATGACCACTTTAAATGTCTATAACTACTTGTGTATCAGGCCGCCGCGGATTATTCTTCATATTGGATTGACTTCCCCGCCAATAGATGTTTAGTGTTTAGATTATTTTGGCTGACATTTCATTAGGATGCTTCAGGAACTTGACATGACACTGCAGGAGTGCTGGAAAGGTCTTAACTCTTTTTTCCTTATTGTGGCTTCCTTCTTTATGCCCTCGTGCCCATTGAGAAAGAGCAGGGGTATATCTTTTTCTTTTATAGGAATGCTCAAACAATAAAAGAAATACACTGCATTGCTTAACTCTTTGTATTACAATCTGTTCTACACTTTCATTCACCCACCAAGAACTACACAAAACCATACAAACAACAAACATTAAAAGCAAGGGACTGTCACAGTTACAGATCAAGCAATGAATGACACAGCTTGCCGACACTTAAGCACAATGGGGCGCCTCACAAGCCAAAGGTGTGCATAGCGTTCTATTGTGCCTAGGTGCAAAAGGGCAGGTGGTAGGCTTTACCAGGAGCTGTGAACTGCCCTCACTATTATGTTTTAAGGAAATTATTTAAAGTATGTAAGGTAGTTTTCAGTGAGGGAATTGACTGGATAAATAATCCGCGGATTATTTTTTAGTCTGCGGACTAAAATTTAGCACTCGGTCAAAAGCCGGCCCATTACACTGAAATCTATTATGATTGAGAACAGTCTTGGAAAAAGAAAAGAAAAGCAAAGAGCGCAAAAGAGGATGCAGCCGGGCAGACTAACCTTTAGTATGCAGACTAAATACGGCCAGGTAAAACGCACAGGAAAGCCACAAGCAGAAAACTAAAACAAAAACATGTGAACACTGAAAGGAATTTGGAAATGTTACCTCATTTGTTCATGATTATGTTACCACCATCACAGAGCCATCAAATTTTCAGTAGACTAGCTTGGTTTCATTGCACAATTTTTCTACCAGATGTCACAGAGAAAAATCCACATACAAATGTGGGCTCTGCAACAAAATGTTGTGTTGCAAAGCACTCCTTTTTAGGATCCCTGCCACCCAGCTACATCCGTTTCTAGGATATTCCACTGAATCCCTGGGCAGTGAGGGTGGTCCTCTACCCAAATGTCAGCCACCAATCTGGGGTCACTGGGACTGTTTGGGGAGACACCCCTTTAAAAAGGTTTTCTATCTCTTAAACTATTTTTTTTTCAAACATGCTGCTACATTCTGTGTGTGTGGACTATGCAATGAGCTACATAAGGATATGTGCTATATTAGTACAACCAATAAAACAAGGCAGCACTCAATGGCAGCATTACACGTTTAAAATAGTAGATTCTACTATAACTAGGAGGGCATGATACCCAGGGAAGATTCCTGGATGGTTTGTGAAACTCTCCTGAGTCAATTTTCAGGAAATGCTGAAAACTGGAGAGTGAAAGAATTCAGCACATGGCAGGGATGTTCTTCATGTTGACTTCTTAAAAATAAAACACTACAGAAAGCCGCATTTACTAAAATGAGCTGCCTACTTAAGATCTGGATTTACAACTTTCTGCAAAATCCATTATCATTTATCATCTTCTTCATCATTGTTAAACAACCACCATCATTGTTTATTTATACCCCTATGTAACTTACTGCTCAAATAAATAATGAGAAATGTCAGGAAGAGCTTTAAAAACTTCAAAATTTTAAAAATGAGGAGCAAAATTCTGCAGTTAGTTGAACCAACTCAACTTTAAAGAACAATTAAGTCATTCAAAGATCAGATAATCAGTTAAACAAACAAGAATGAGAGAGGAAAAACTAGACTCTCCTGATATATATTTAAATACACATATTTAAGTGATATGCAAATAATGTTATACACTGGTAGAGTTAAAATAAAGATAAAAAATAAAGATAAGTAAGTATAAATTGATATCATAACTACATTATGTTTTTCCTAAAAATATAATTCAAGGAATCATTCTACAAATAATTTGTGTTCATCCTAGAATATTTTATTTTAAAATATAAAAAATAGGCAATATTCTACCAGAAGAAACAATTATTAAGTTTCTCATTCAGTCAGATCACTCATGGCTAAAATCTCAGCAGATTTCCTTGCAGAGACTTTCAAACAGAGGAGGCCAAACAAGTCTAACTGAAAGCAGGAACACTGGAAAAGCTCAAACTCAGATGGATGTCTGGAGAGATGATCAGTCTCATCTTGGAATTGTACCAAAAGGCCTGCATTTTGGCATTTTTCTCCTATCCAAGCCTACAAATATCACCCACACATGTATGTTTTGTTAGCCACTTAAGTCCCCATGGGGAGAAAGGTGGGGTAAAAATAAAGATGATGATGATGATGATGATGATAATAATAATAATAATAATAAGTGGTTTCTATGCTATTTCCTTGTTTTTACATTGCAACAAGTGGGATTTATTCTAAACAGATAAGTTGATAAGACTTTGTTATCTTAAACCAGTGGTTCTCAACCTGTGGGTCCCCAGGTGTTTTGGCCTACAACTCCCAGAAATCCCAGCCAGTTTACCAGCTGTTAGGATTTCTGGGAGTTGAAGGCCAAAACATCTGGGAACCCACAGGTTGAGAATCATGGCCTTAAACCATCATGAAGCTTATTTTGATAGTCAAATCTTTCGTTTGATGCGGTATAAAAGCCCTTGATAAGCTATGCTGGCATTTTCGTTCATAACTCTACAATAATGCCATTCAACTACTATTCTTACATTTGATTCATCTTCTCTATTCCTCGAACACATCATGGGAATTGACCAATGGAATAATCAATAACAATTCCCGCTAGAGAGGGATGTGTCAGGGCTGCCCTTTGTCATTGTTATTTTCATTTAGTGTATGAAGCTACTGTCATCTGCAGTCCAACAATCTGGAGATATTTATCTTAATCTGGCAATACAGCAGGGGTTACTGATAGGAATCACTATCTATGTTATAGTTCTAGGTTGCTTGCATGCAAATGCAATAGTGTATCCATATTATAATAAGTCCTCCAAACACTGACATATATTCCATCTCTTTCTGAGTGCTCATTATCTCTGGCACTCATTTTTGAACATGTTTGTTTCTGCCGTCAGTTAATATTTGCATGTGTGGTAAGAAGAAGCATATACTGAACTGGTCTAATGAAGCATTAGGATTATCTATGGTTATTTTTTTAAAGAATATTATTAATGTACTACTGTAAATCAAACAAACTCTTAACTTAACCTCTTAACTAATTGATGTGGATTTGTAATTATGGTGTTTACAATAAATTTATTATAAATAAATATAAATAACGAAGTAGATAGCTTAGTCTTTTAGACTTTTGTTCCTAAGGATTAACTAATTGTCAGTTCTTACAGAGAAAAGGACACTTGTAAAAGACAGAAGATTTTCTCAAGAAATAGCTCAGTTCAGACACTAAGAGCCCTTCTGTATAACGTTATGGCATTGCCTCCTTGGACTGGTTCATCAGTTAAATCCTCAGCACCAATTAGCTGGTACAAATAATATTTAATATTACAGCACAAAAATGCAGCTGTAGCATTTTTCCTTGAATATATCCTTTCTGAAAATGTTAGCTTTTCTAGACACTCAAAAAGGAACATACATTATTCCCAAATAATTTAAAATTTGTATATTTGTCACATTTATGTAGTGTCAGAAGAAGATGTACCTTAGGGCAACAAGTGTACAACACTTACACTTTTTCTTATTATTTTCCCTTAAGTTTTATCTTATATATATGTTAGAACAATCTGTGAAAGAAATGTTATGCAAACCTAACAATTCTCATACTCCCTCTAAGATAGAAGAGGCCTTCAATTCATACCTACACAAAGCTCTCATGCTAATTTTGGCAAAAGAAAATATTTATTTATTTATTTACCGTGTTTGTATACCGCCTTTCTCAGCCCAGAGACTACTCAAGGCGGTTCACAGTCGGCAGCAATTCGATGCCTTAGCAATTATAAAAATACAGTTAAATATGTGATTCATCCTGAATCCTGAAGCAAGATATCTACTTTAATTTCACCCTGAGGTGAAGTGCCACCTGGAGTGGAGTGTATAAAGTGGAAGACCTTATTTACTCTCCATTTGTTCTAAAGATCAAGACTTGGAAAGCAATGGAACAGTTTCTGAAGAAAGAGCTTATGCTGTGATATACACATGACTAACCACTAAAGCCGCTTGAAAGAGTAACAGCAGGCAATACATAAGTAAAGTAAAAAGGGTTCTCTGGCTCCATTAGTTTCCAATGGGATAAAAGACATGTCAGTTCCTGACACTGGTTGGTACATCTACAAAGGAGTCTCATAATGGCTATTTAGTTGAAGTATTTTAAATGTGTGTATTAAATAGATTCACAGAAACAATTAAAAAAAACAGAACAGTCAATAAAATGCAAAGCTTAAATCATCAATTACCAGCATTATTATTACAAAGAGGTCAATGATAGAAAATAACAAATTAAAATAAATCACATTATTACCACAAGCGGAATAGCAACAACACATGACCTAATTCTACATTTTTTGTTAGTTTGTTAGTGGGGAATTACAAAGGTTGCAACATTCAAATAAGTCCTTTTTTAAAAAAATAAAAAAACAATTATTGAAACCTTACGTACTATTTATAAGCCATTAAACAAGGAATGTTAAGTGTCACCAGAGTAATGCATCATTTAAACCAGTTGAACTGTACAATTTTTCTAAGCATCCTAATTGTCTTGTACCAATTTTATTAATTAGCATTTTAAAAAACCAAAAAATAAAGAAACGGGAGAACATAGAAAGCAGTAGTGTCTTCCTTGGATTTTAAGCAGCATTTAAACAATAAAACTCACCATTTAATTGTTTTTTAGCTATTTATTTTAAACAATAATCTAAGATTCAGTGCCAGCTAATGTGTAAGTTGTTCTTCAAGGAAAAGAGTTAGTGTTTCACTGCCTGCCCAGCAGATGGAGCCATGGATACAAGCAAACTCCCAATACCTGCTAAACTCTAGGCTACTCAATCCCTATCCAAATCTTGTTTCAAAATAGGCCTGTCATAAATTATGTTGCTAGTTAGATAGTAAGCTAACCAATGCTCAGTCTTGCTTCAGGAGTAGCACCAAAGATGGTCCTAAGTCACCATTCCTTTAATTACTGGCTGGTGGTAGATTCTGGCAGTGAGGACTCCAGCTGCCCTACTTCTTTAAGAAGACTGGTGGAGTTGCATCTCCACAGAAGTTCTTGACTAACAGTCAGCATCCCAAGGGGATCTGGGCTTTCAAGCCATTTTTCTGCTCTCATTCGAACACTGTAACTCTGTGGTAGAGATGAAGGAGACCGTCAGATGGTACAGGACTTTAGCATACCACTGCATTGGCATGTGGCTAAGGTTTCCAAGAGTTGTAGCCTAAAAACTTTTGGAAGGGTGTATGATTCCCTTCTACCTCGTTGTGTAGATTTCTTAGAAAGAAATTAAAAGCTTCTAGGTTTGCTATAGCTGATCTTATAAAATGCACATAATTAACACAACTTGTATTTTGGATTCTTATTATTTACTAGCCGTCCTCTGCCACGCGTTGCTGTGGCCCACATGGGGGTTCTGTGTGGGAGGTTTGGCCCAATTCTATCATTGGTAGGGTTCAGAATGCTCTGTGATTGTAGGTGAACTATAAATCTCAGCAACTACAACTCCCAAATGTCAAGATTCTATTTTCCCCCAAACTCCACCAGTGTTCACATTTGGGCATATTGAGTATTTGTGTAGAGTTTGGTCCAGATCCATCATTGTTTGAGTCCACAGTGATCTCTGGATGTAGGTGAACTACAACTCCAAAACCAAAGGACACTGCCCACCAAATCCTTCCAGTATTTTCTGTTGGTCATGGGAGAACTGTGTGCCAAGTTTGGTTCAATTCCATTGTTGGTGGGGTTCAGAATGCTCTTTGATTGTAGGTGAACTATAAATCCCAGCAACTACAACTCCCAAATGACAAAATCATTTTTTTGAGTGAGGACATACATTGGGTTGTTAGGTGTCTTGTGTCCAAATTTGGTGTCAATTCATCCAGTAGTTTTTGAGTTCTGTTAATCCCACAAACGAACATTACATTTTTATTTATATAGATTTATTTACAATATTTCTATCCCATCTTTCTCGAACCTGAAGATGACTCAAGGCAGTTTACAACCAGGCAACCACGTATGCCTTAACAATGTACACTTAAAATCACAAAAAAGAATTAAAAAATACATACAATGAGACCTTTAAAACATATAAAGCCAATATATAAAACTGATACCTTCACTTTTAAGGAGAAAGTTAGTCAAATAAGGTAGCCCATTTTGGGCAATGAATCATATGACCCATCTCCCATTCTGAGAAGTATACACAGGAAGAAAGAAACTCTGAGAAAAGGAATGCTACTGGTATCTTTACTATAACGAAGACAGTAGTTCCAAGTAATGTGTAATTTTGAAATGTGATATTTTCCAGCTCTGTGCTATCTTGCCTGTTGTTGCCAGCTGGTAAACTGGCTGGGATTTCTGGGAGTTATGGGCCAAAACATCTGGGGACCCACAGGTTGAGAATCACTGATCTAAGAGAATCCTGGTCTTCAAGAACAGATGAATGATATCCAAGGGTATTAAAAGAACTGGCAGAAGTAATTTCAGAATAACTGACAATCATCTTTGAAAATTTCTGGACATAGGAAATTTCTGGACAGCAAGAAAAGTTCAAGCTGACTGCAAAAAGGCAAATGCTAACCCCTTCTTCAAAGAGGGCAAAGAGACCCAAACAATTCCCCCAAGTCAACTTGGCATCAATCCCAGGAAGGATACTAGAGTAGATCATCAAAGAGACAATCTGTAAACACTTAGAAAGGAATGTCATGCTCACTAAGTCAACAAGGGGTTCTCAAAATTAAATCAAGCCAGACAAATCGTATCTCTTTTTTGTCTAGAGTTAAAAGCTTGGTAAAAGAAGGGGATGCCGTGGATGTAGTATTATCTTGATTTCAATAAGGCCTTTGACAAGGTCCCCCATGATTTTCTCGTAAAGAAGCTAGTAAAATGTGGGCTAGACAATACTGGTATTAGATGGATTGGGAACTGATCGAACTGAAAGAGACCTTACCAAGAGCTCCTTGTCATCATGGAGAGAAGTAACTAGTCGGGTGCCATAGACTTCTGTCCTAGGCTCCATGCTATTCAGTATCTTTATCAATGATGGAAAAGAGGGCATGTTATCAAATCTGCAAATGACACCTCAAACTCAAGCGCCCAATCCAGGGAGGGATCTTGAGGAGCAAGGTAAGTGACAAGAGCCCAAGGGTTGGAACTGCAAGGACAGCCTGAAGGGGGAATCTGTCACAACTTGCCACCTGAAAAACTTAAAGAAAGAGTCAAGCAAAATGATCCAGGCTGAATCAACTCTCCCCATGAGAAAAGATTAGAACATTTGGACCTTTTCAGGTTACGAAAGGGACAAGTTCAAAGGGTGCATAATATTATATTACAAGAGGAGAAAGTGGTAAAAGAGATTTTCACGCTTTCTCATAAGGAATTGAGGTATGAATCTATTGAATCTGAATGTTTGAAGACAGGCAAAAGAAAGTATTTCTTCCCATAGCACAACGTTAAAACTATGGAACTCACTAGCATAATAATGCAAACCTAGATGAGACTTTAAAAATTAGACAAGGGGAAAGATGTGACTACATATAGCCACTTTATTCATAAATAGTATAAAGAGTTACAAGAAGGCCATGTATTTGCTCCAGTATCAGAGTTAGTATGACTCTTAATATCACTTGCCAAGGAACAACAACAAAAAATGACTTGTACCCTCAAGTTTGATTTGCAGGCTTCCCCATAGCAATTTGCTTGCCCATGGTGAGAATGCCATGCTGGACTAGACAGACCATTCTTGCAATCCAGGAACCTCAAGATTCACATTATCCTTATATTTTGCTTTTAAGGAATCTGATCTCCCCTTCTAAAACTTCAATTCTTTTCTCATTATTTTTTTGCTCTTGTTTTAACTTCAATCATTTTTCTTGAGATTCCAGGACCTCAGAAGATCGGGAAATGGGATCCAAAGAGATCCAGAATGAGTGTATATTTTGGACGATCTTCTGTAACCAGCTAAATAGGCTGGTTTGCAATCACTAGTGCCCAGCTGGTACAGCAGATATAATTGACTATGTAGACAAGCTCATACATGTACATATGTAGAAAGAGAGAGCACTAAGTGAAGAAATAAAAAATGCAACATATGATGTGGTATAAAATGCTCCTGTTGAAGGTTCCAGCAAGCCATACTAATTTAGTATACTCCACTGAATTTTCATGCTCATGCTCAGCCCTCTGGCCGATTGGGAAGAAGAGGTATTCCTTGGTCCTGCCACCTATTATTTTAGAACTTCTCTAAATCTTACAGTTCCTCTAAAATATTTAATCTCCTTCTTGTTTCACAATGGCTCTGCTTCATCTGCAATCCTGCTTCTGTCAGACTGAGTTCACTATGAGAGGAAGTGATGCTCTTCAGGAAAGACATCATATTGAAATCTCTACATTAACTGCATCAGAAGAATGTTGTCGTTTTTTTCACATAAGGGAATTATTATTATTCCTCTACCCCAAGCCCCATTTGCTGTGTCCTCTTAACACTTCAGTGGCTTGGATCCCCCTTCAGAGAAGCCTTTTAAAGCTCCAAATGGGAGAATAAATGTGTGTTGCCGTCCCCGCCCCAATAATAATGAAGTTCTGTTAAAGTGAAAAAGGCTATTATCATAGACATGAACAACACATTAACAATATGTAGGTCCACTAACCAATGCAATGTACTACCCCCATCTTTTAAAATTCTCAAAATTTAACTTATAAACCTCAGAAACAGCTGTATCTCAAACACCCAAAATTATTTTAAATAGACTCACCTTAGTCCATGGATGTGCCTTAATCTGGGGAAATTTAAATTCAGTGTAGTTTGGATTCATTTCTCTAATTTGTTCTCTTGTGGGGGTTCCAAGGACCTGGAAAGTGAGAAATATGAATCAACGCCATGCAACAGGAGAAATATGCCCCATACTATGTGTTCAAGTATTACGGGAAACGGAATATGGTTCTATGGACTACAACAAAAAAGCTATCCATCTAGATTCCAAATCCACATAAAATCTTTTAAAAGATTCATAATTTTAAAGCAACAACAAATGCTTCCACAGTGGGACAGAACACAGTCTGAATTTCAAGTGTAAAAAAGTCACAGTGATCTTTCTAAGTGTGGCCAGAGTTTTGCATTTAAATTATTGAAAGTATTTGCTCCTGTAGTTTGGAGACACAAGTATATAATGATCTCAAATGAAGTTTAAATATGCACCTTAATTAACCTTATTTGATATCTTAATTGTGTTTAATTACAAGGAGAAATGTAGATAAACCAAAGTTATATAAAATTATTATTTTATGATTTTACATTTCTAAATAATAATAAAAATCATACCTTTATGATTTCCACCAACTGATCTACACCACTGTCTCCTGGGAAAATTGGTTGTCCTAGTAATAGTTCTGCCAATACACAACCTGCTGACCAAACGTCTGGGGAAAAGAAAATGAGGAAACCAAAAAATGAGATGTATAGGATTCGATCTGGAACAAAATTTCGACTCACTTCATACAACGTACTACTGCAGAACAAGTTCTGAGGTTCAGACTCAGCAATACATATTGCACAAAAAAGTTAGCTTGTGTGAAACTGTCCTAAGTCAGGATACACACAGCACAACGATACACAAATAAACATTACACAGGAGTATTAGTACAAGCCTTTTTTCAAAGTCCTTTCCTATCTCTAAAATTTTAGTTGAGACTTCATTCATGTTTGCATCTCCTTATCTATCACTCTCACGGCTTCCTCCCAACCATAAAGTCATGCCATGGTGCTCACTCTCTTCCTCTCTGACACTATCCCAAACTCTGGACTCCTGTAGACACCCTATTTCTTGGGCTGGAGAACTGTTGTTCCAGAAGTGCAAGCTGAAACCTCTCTTGGATAAGTGGAGCAGGTTCCATGGTTTGTTAGATTTTGTGTCTTATTTAATAGTCATAAAATTTCAATGAAAGATTTGTGATAAAACCAGTAATTGAACACTAGTGTGCTATGAACGTATGAGTTATGTGCCTATGAAGACCTTTATTTAGAACACTTTGGGAGCTGAGTTCTTTGGAATGGAACCCATCCCTTCCCCTCCAATGACACTCTTAAATGGCATGGTTCCCTGTTTTCCGCTCAGTTCTCAATCCACTGCAACAGAAAAGTACAAAAGGGCAAAATAAGAGACCAATATAGCAATTTCTAGATAAAAACCCCACCCTTGTCCGTAAGTAATGCAGATCCACACTGAGTATACAATGTTCTCTACTCCTACTGGCAGAAGTAACCAATATTGAAACCAACAACGTAAGTAGGCATTGATTACAGGTTATTAGGGACCCAAAGGGTCTGAGTGTAAGCGTTCACTGAATAGGCACTGAGGGAAGAAGAAGAATACAGGGAGTCCCTGAGCTACAAACTTCCAACCTATTTATTTATTATTTATTTTATTTACAGTATTTATATACCACCTTTCTCAACCCTGGGGGACTCAAAGCGGCTTACAAATGACCCATAGTTAAGAAAGGGGGAGAGACAACAGGAAGTGAGAGAAATATACCCCTAGAAGGGAAATCCACTGCCTGAAGAATTATCATGGGGGAAGAGGTGTCTCCACTGAAGCTGTATCCCCAATCCTTGTTTAGTTTTTATTGTATTAATTGTATTTATGACATTGTAAGCATTGAATTTTGCCCTGTTAACCGCCTTGAGTCGCATACAGGCTGAGAAAGGCGGTATACAAATACAGTAAACAAACAAACAATCCTAGTTTCCAGAAAATGAAAATATTCTGAACAAGGGCACAGACAACAAACAAAACACCATATGGTGGCGGCCTAGCAGAGCTGTTAGAGCTGGGGGCATTTCTCCTCCCCCCCCCCCATATGAGGTAAGGCAGTTTTTTAAAAAGCCTAGCTCATCTAAGATGCCATTGAATCTAAGCAACATTCTATTTTTGAAGCCCTTTAAATAGTAAAAAAGTGTGTGGATTCGATGAAATGTGGTACAGGCAATCACCAAGTTACAAACAATAGGTTCTATAGGTTTATTTTTAATTTGAATTTGTTTGTAAATTGGAATAGGTACATTTTTAAGTGTAACTTCAGCCAAATATGTATATATTAGCTTTGGATAACATAGGGAAGGGTTAACACCCCTGTGGTTTTTGTTTTCACCTCTTTTTCCGTCCCCGTGATAACTAGATTTTTAAAAATGTAACTTGTTGGGAAGGAAGTATTGATAATAAAGCTTAAGTAGAGACCCCTTTTCCAATTATAACTCTTCCAGGAGTGAATCTCCCTTCTATTGAGTAGATTTCTCTCACTTCCTGTTGTCTCATCCCTGTTTTGAACTATGAGTCATTTGTAAGTTGGATGCTTGTAACTTGGGGACTGCCAGTATTTTTTGAAAAAACTATTTTCATATAAATTTAGGTAAGGATTTTTCATCATATCAAATATATTCAAAACCAAAATAAACACATACCTATACTGGAGGTATAATCTGTGGCTCCAAAGATCAACTCTGGCGCCCTATAGTACCGAGAGCAGATGTAAGAGACATTGGGCTCTCCACGAACTAGCTGTTTTGCACTAGATGTGAGGAAACAAAGAAAGACAGGCATTATAAAATAATTGTGGTTATTTCATATACATGCTTGTTTCAAGATGAAACTTCATTTGCTACATATAATTTTTCAATTTCTCCAGAATGAGAAAAGTACATTATTATTAAGGATTGGAGAAGCAAGGTAAAGCATTGCAATATTTTAAAACTTATCAGATGGCCACAAAACAATGAAATACAAATGACTTCATTAAACCTGAGGAATATATATTGGGTGGAGTTATGGAAAATTTAAAGTTTTCACTCCTCAAGGCCCCCGTCCAATTTGAATGAATGAATGAAGCTTTATTTATATCCCGCCCCATCTCTCAAAGGGACTTGGAGCGTCTTATAACAATTTGACCCCACTATCAGGATACAAAAATAGGGAAAAGCTTATGATACTAAATTGTTAAATTATTAAAACAATGGAAAATTACACTTGCATTATTTGAAATTTGCATTAAAATAGAAAATTCATTTCATAAATGTTGTAATTTATAAAAGCAAAACTAAATACTTCTAAAATGTTGATCTGGTGCTAGAGAGACCACAGAAGATTCAATTGTTATAACTGTTATAAAAGTTTAATTGTGTGTGCACCCAAGGACAAATTTTGCCTTAAAATTTGGCCTTGCATAAATTTAATAAGATAATACAATTTAATAATTTATATTTAGCAGTCCAATGTTAAGTGCTGCTAAATAGAAGTCATTTTTATTTTTAAAAATATTTTTATTGAATGTTTCTAAAAACATAAAAAATACACCTGGAAAATAAAACAAAAGAAAAAGAAAAAAACCATAAAGTAGTTAAAAAGAGAAAAAAGGGAAGAACAGAAGGGTGAAAACGCAGAAAGGTAACTGACTTCCAATATTATTCTCAGCAGTTATTTAAAAATAATACATTTATAGCTTTCGAATCCATTAGCTACCATCCTCCTCACTAAACAGTCTACCTACTAATAAAACTTACCAAAGCCTTCCAGCTATTTTCTATAAAAAGTCAATAAAGTGTTACAAGTGTCATCAAATATTACTATTGATCTTAAAAATCTTGACCAACTAACAAATCTTATTCTAGCTGTCATAACATTGATCTCCTTTCGTAAGTTACAAACTTACACGCAACTTCTAGTTACAAATGGGGCTGAGACAACAGAAAGTGAGAGGAAATCTGTCCTAGGAGGCAAAATTCACTCCTGGAAGAGTTATCATGATTAAAAAGGTGTCTCCACTCAAGTTTTATTGCCAATCCTCATTTCTACAACAAGCCAAAATTTTCAAAATTCAATTGTCAAAGGGAACAACTGAGGTGTTAACCCTTCCCTATCCTATCCAAAAGCTAAAAAAGAAAAATTGCTGGAGTTACACTTTAAAAAATGTACCCATTCTGGATCTCCTCTTCTGTAAAAAAAATGTCTCCCATCTTTTGTTATTTGTATTATAAATTGTTTTTGTCTTTTTTTGTTAGTTTTTTGCCAGTAGTTTCCCTGGTTTATTAGCATTCGCAAAGTAATTTACTTTTAAGTATTTTTTTTGAAATTTGTTCCAAAATTTTTGAGTTTCTCTGTTTTTTCAATTATTTCTAATTCTAAATGTAATTTCTTATCTCCTGGCTTTGATTTTAGTAGTGCTTCTTTTTCTCTAATTTCTTCTATAAATTGCCTTGTTCTTCTTGTCTTTTCTTTTTTCTGCATATTCCTTGTTGTATAAAATACCCTCTCCCCACTGTCTTCTAGCATCCCATAAAACTTCACTTTTTATTCCTTCTTTGTTGTTTAGTTGTTTAGTTTCCTATTTCTCTCTCTCTTTTTCCGATTTTAGAAGATTCTCATTTAGTCTCCATCTCCTCTTTCTTTTTTTCTCTTTTGTATTACCATTATCATTGGGCAATGGTCAGTATTTACTCTGGGTAGTATTTTAATGTTATTTATTTTTGTTATTAATTAATTGGTGACCCATATCATGTCGATTTGAGAGCATGTTGCATGTCGGTCTGAATAGAAGGTGTAGTCTTTTACCGTTGGGTTTCTTATCCTCCATTTATCCTGTAATAATAGCTCTTTTTTAATTGTAATAAGCTAAATGGTAGTTTTCCTCCATTTGAGTCATTCCCATTTTTCTTAGTTTTATCAAGGTCACAGTCTAATACTCTGTTAAAATCCCCTAGAATTATTAAGTTTTCATAATTCTGCTCTTGTATTTTCTTCTTCAGTTGTTTAATGAATTTAGATTTTGCTCCCGTAGGAGCATAAATATTGCATATTAGAGTTTCTTGATTATTAATTTTGGCTTTAACCCCTACCATTCTCCCCTCTTGATCTTTAAATTCCAGGGATGCCTCTATTGTTTCCTTCACATATATTACGACCCCTCTCTTTTTTTGTGGTGCCGAGGAGTAAAACTCCTTCCCAATTTGCTTTTGTGTTAAATATGAAGTCTGTTTATGTGCGATGTGGGTTTCCTGTAAGGCAATTAAATCATACTTCTCTTTCTTTAGTTGGTTAAATAGTAATTTCCTTTTATTAGGTGTGTTTAAGCCATTTACATTATTTGAAAATATTGTCACTGTCATTGTCATTTTATTCATTGGGTTCATCCTGTTTGTCCTAGGCATCAATTTGCTGTTCCTCGTAGTCTTCAGATGAGTTGGGTCTAGGTCTTTTCTTCTCCTTCTTGTTTCCTTTCCGCTCCAGTTTTCTTTTCTTATTTCTGTTTTACTCTTGCCTCTTCTCTGTCTCCCTCTTTCTGATTTGTTTCCATAATTTTCTTAAATTCTTTGTGGAATTCTCTCGCTTTCTCTTCTGATGTTAACCAATGTTTGCATTCGTTAAATGTCACTGATATTCCTTCCGTCCTTTCCCATTTGAATTTTATTTGGTATTTTTTAATTTCATCTGTTAGAAAGTAATCTTTCTTTATTTTACTCATGGATGTTGGGGTGAATTCTTTTAATATTATTACTTTTCTTCCTCTATACAATATTGATCCTTTTAATTTAGCTTTTAAAATCTCATCCCGAACTCTTTTTCTTCTGAAAGATACGATGATATCTCTAGGAACTTTATTTCTTCTGGCAAAATTCATATTTATTCTTTGTAAGCGGTCTATATTTTGATCCATTTCTTGTGTTGTTATATTTAATATTTCCACAGTCATCTCTGTGATTATACTTCTTATATCCTCTTCTTCCTGTTCTTCAATATTTCTGAACCTCAGCTGGAATTCTGTTTCTTTGATAGCCAGTAATTCCTGCTGTCTTTCTAGTTTCTCATTTATTTCTTCCAGTGTATTAATTTTTGCTTCTGCTTTCCTTTGGGTTTTTTTCAGGGCTATATTGTCTTTTTTGATTTCCTTTATTTCTTGCTGCATCTCGCCAACTTCCTTTTTTATTTCCAACATTTCTTCTTTTAGTTCTTTTCATCTTACCTATCTCTTCTTGAATCGTCTTTTGCATATTTTGTTGCACTATTCCTTGATTTTCCTGTATTTTATGCATTTCCAACATCAGGTCTTTCAGTGATAGTTCCCCTTGTATTGAGTTTCTTCTTACTGCTGTAGTTGTTATTGCTTTATTCATTTTTGTAGTAGTTGTAAATTTGTCCCATCTGGTTTTTCTCCCTTTTTGTTACCTTAGGGGAGGTTCTTTGTCAGTCCTTTTTATTTTATTTTATTTCTCTTTACTATGTTGTTTCTCTCATTTTTATTATTTCTCTTCATTTCTCTTTGCTCTCAGTCTAAGTTTCTTCACTTAGTACTCTCTCTCTCTCTCTCTCTTTGGAAGAGAGAGAGTTCTTACAGTGTGTCCTCTTATTGATTTCCATCAATTGTGCTGTAATCCATTCCGCAGTATTTGTCTATATTATTTTTATTATTTTTAATACTCTTTTCCCTTTTGTTTCTTTCACTATTTGTTTGCCTGTTTCTTACCTTTGAGGCTTCTGGGGCTTGCTGGTTTGTTGGCGGGGCTTGCTTCTTTCATTGGCGGGGCTTGCTTTGTGGCTTCTGGGGCTTGCTGGCTCGTTGGGTCCTTAATATATTCCTATTCCTTTTCTTTTACTTTCTTCTTGCCCCCTCTGCCTCCTCCATCTCCATTTCTCCTTCTGGTCTTCCTTCCGCCCTTACCAGTATTCCTTCAGTTGCCCTTCGCCGCTTTTGCCCTTCTTTGTTCTACTTCCACCCTTTCTTGTATGTCCCGCCCTTCTCCCTCACTGCTTCCTCTCTCACACTTCCCCTACGTCGCTTCCTGTTGACCGGGTATCTTCCATTTCTTAAAGCTGCCGTGCCTCGGATGCGGGGAGGATGAGTTTCTCACAAGGAATGGGGGGATTGTGGGACGCGGGGGGGGGGGTTAACTTTCGGGTTTTGACTTCTCGCCCCTTGCAGTCTTTTTAACGTGCCTTCTCTTATTTTCCTTTACCGTGTTTTCCTTACCGGTTAATGTTCCTTCTCTGTCTCTTCCTCTTTTCTCTCTCGTTCTTCCCTTTTTTCCACTCTCTTTCCTTCTTGTTCCCTTCTTCGTGAAGTCTTACTTGTCTTCAAATAGAAGGCGACTACTTAGCTCCCTGCTTCCTTTTTACTTATTTTCTTCTTCTCTCTTATTTATTTACTCTTCTTTTAAAATGAAGGGAGTCAGACTTTTACGGCTCTTTTGAGCCGAATCCCTTTCCCTGGGGGTTTCTCTGTGAGGTTACTGACTGGGTCTGGCGGCCTCCCTTGAGGAAGAGTCACTCTCACCCAGGCCCGCAGCGCCTCTTTGAGATTGCCTCCGAACCAACCTTTTTCCCGTCGGTTCGTGGAGTCCCTTGGGGTCTCCTACCCTTTGGGGAAGAGATTCGGGTCTGCTGGAGTTCAGAAACCCGCTGCTGCCGTCATCTTGCCTTCATCTGGAAGTCCTTATATAAGTTTTTCTTAAGCTAATTCAGTATCATAAGTCAGATGTCAATGTAACATACATGATGTGAAATCAATAGAAGCTTTTTTGC